TATATATATATATATGTATATATATATATATATATATTTCACTCGCAGTGGTTATAAGGTTTCTGTAAAAATAAAAAGCATTAGTTACAAGGTTCTAATTTTCTAAACAGTACTACTTGTTTGGTTTTTCCATTCACTTAAGACATATAAACATCCAAAATGAATGGTCAAATTAAACATATTCCCCTGCATGCAAGACTTTTTTATACATAATCAGCAATGCAAGCTCAATTATTTAAACTTTAGCTCACTAATTAATTCACAATGTTTTCTTGCTTAACACTTATTCTTTCACAATGTTTTCTTGCTTAACACTTATTCTTTCTCAAGAACAACATTAAATGTAGTATATTATATACTTTTAATCTATGAGCCTATTTGACCATTACATGAAATCAACAAAAACTTCTTTTAATCTTAAAGAAATGTAACTCTTAAAATGGCACACCTGGACAGATTCTTCAACTTCTTCTAAATTTTTTTTTATATTTTAGTTTTTTTTTTTATGATATCCAACGAAAACATAAAAATGTAAAAATAGAAAATAAATCATAATATTCTAATCCCTAAAATAAATCCAAACACAATATCTATTTTTACATCATATCAATAAATCATTGTCGCAACCCGAAAATTTCCGATCTCGCGACATATGGTTTAGACATTCTTTTAAAAAACTCATCAATTAAGGAATGCCCGGACACCAGACTAATCCTTAATTGATGGTTTTGAAAATAGGTTTTATGGAGTCGCCACCAATGTTTTACTCAAAACATTTTAAGAAAAGATTTTTAAAAGGTCCAATGATGGCCTTGATAACCAGAATTGGGTTCGGGGGTCGGTTACGTGTAGAGAAGGTATTAAGCACCCCTACAACGCCCTAAATCGGTACCCTATGATGAAGTTAATGTGATAAGAAATAATAAATTAAATATTAGATCCCCTTTTATTAATAACTATTTACATTCTTGAAATTTAAATTATACAATTGATCCTAAAATATCTACATGATTGCTTTTATTATAAACAATATTTATCAAAGATAAGAAATAAAAGAGAGAGAAGAAGATCGACTGAAATACCTCTTGAACGAGCTTTATTGAATCTTCAAATATGGAGATTTAGGTGCTTTGTGGCAACCATTCACACTACAATAAGCCTCACAAAACTCAAGAAATACAATAAGAGAGAAAGAAAGAAATTTCGAACTCTAACGAGTTTTGGACGAAATTTTGAAGGTCCTTAGAATTGTGGCCGAGATTTCTATTTATAGGCATCAGACGTGGGCCGGAACGGACCGTTCTGTATTTGGAATGGCCCGTTCTGTATTATTTTTGCATCCTAGAACGACCCGTTCTGAAATGAGAACGGTCTGTTCCGGAGTACAAATTTTAGGCCCTTTGATTGGTTTGGAACGGCCCGTTCTGGTCTGGAACGGCTCGTTCCAACTTACCATTGTAGGCCTTTTTAGGCGTCTCGGAAATGTCCGTTCCAATTCAAAAACGGCTCGTTCTGATTTTGAAACAGCCCGTTCCGGGCCACTAAAAATAGTTGATTTAGGCTTTTGGGCCCTCTAATATCCTATCTTGTTGATTGTATGCCTCCGAACGAAATTGGGAGTCTACAATCATAATATTACGTATAAAATAAATAATAAAATGATATTCTTAAATAAATAAATAAATAAAATAGAAAACCAACCGGAGGAGGACGACCACCGCAAACTGCACGGAGAAATCGCAAACTGCAAATCGCAAGGAGAAACCAGAAACTGCAAATCGCACGAAGAAATCGCAAACTGCAAACCGCACGGAAAAACACTCTTTAGCTAAATGTGTTTAAACACTGACAAAATAAATAATAAACTGCACGGAGAATAGGAAAGGATTTCGGTGTCTGTGCTGAGGCTGCGGAGGCTGTTTAGGGATTTAGGGATTTCACGTTTTGAATTACAGTATGTCATTCGTTTAGGGATTTAGGGATTTACAGTATGTTTATAATATACTTTTTACAAATAATATAAATTATTATATAATGTCAGATATTTTTTTACATAATATAAATAGAAATATAAATTATTAATAGTTATATTAGTTTTCATTTGCTAAAAAATTATTTTCATTCTTTAATTTGTTTCTTAAGTTTAATTTTATAATTTTTATTTTAAAAAGTATTAATCTTATTTTTATTGATTAAAATGTATTTGATTTGATTTATTTTAAAATTAAATTTACTCTTATTTTTTGAAAATATTTGAAGTTAAAAGGAAAAAAAATTGATTAAATTAATCTTATTTAAATATTTATAATTAACAAAATACATTAACTACATCTATTAACTACTATTTTAATACTCATATATTATCTTTAATATATGTAATTAATATTATATAATTAAAATTTTATTTTATTTAAAAAATAAATTTAATATAGTCAATTTTGCGAGGGAAATGCGACAAATACTTTCCCTCGCTAAATAAACTTTTATTATCTCTACTTTTGTGAAGGATTAGCGAGAAAACTTTTCCCTCGCTAAAGTAAGCTTTACTATTTTAATTATAGTAACACATTAGCGACTAAAGTATTCCCTCGCTAAAATAAATTTTATATTCTTCTCATTTGCGATGGATTAGCGAAGGAAATTATACCTCGCCAAAACAAATTCAATATTCTAGACATTTTGCAAAGCATTAGCGAGGGAATTTGTTTCTCGCTAATTACTTGTGATCAATTAGCGACAAAATTTGTGTTCCTCGCAAATTAGCTAGGACTTAACTAGAGATTATTTTTTATCGCTAATTTGTCGCTATTTAACGAGGGAATAGCGAGACAAATTTTCCTACGCTAAAATCCCTCTCTAATTAACAATTTTCTTGTAGTGAATGCACATGAATATACCTCAACATACATCATATGCAAACATATCAACCAATGTGTCGTTACACATTTACCTATGGAGTTCTCCTAACAACATGAGTAGTCTAAGTGATTTTCACCCTATCGAACCAACCCAATCATTTTCACGCGCCAAAGTGTTGGCTCGATCACAGCAAAATGGGATATCAATCCCTCCTTTGGTTTCTTGGGTCTTTTCATTTACACTAAGAAAGTTCGATTCCATCGTCAAGAGTAGTACAACTGGATATAGGTTTACCACGACATTGACATGCATTATCAAGTTACATATGAAATTCACCCATTGATTATCCTCAAGCAACCACACAACCTTTCCAGGTACTTGGTTAAGGGTTGTAACCCTCGACCTCCTACCTTACTCAACCACTAACTAAAGACTTGCAGGAGACTCAACATACCTCAAAACCTACTCCAAGAGACACAACTACTCAAGGAGAGGGTTTTCCAAAAAGTGGCCTACCCGAGCACCACTCCAAGATACCTTATGTGGGATCTTCATTTTTCAAAATAATTTTCTCTCCTCAAATCCTAAGTTAGTAATCATGCTTTAATGCCACACACCACATTTTCAACATCTACACCTCACCATGCATCTACTATATACATCACATCTTGTTAATGCATATAGAGATCAATAACATCAATTATGTATAGTATACCAATGCTTAACACCTTAACTAAGAATAACATACCAATGCTTAACAATTTATACAATAATAGAATATTAGTGCTCCACAATTCATTTAACAATAGCATATCAATCATACATAGCATACCAATGCTCATCATCATTTAAATTACACAAAGATAGCATACCAATGCTTATTATCATATCAAGTACATAAAGATAACATACTAATGCTTATTATCATCATCCTATATTTTAAAACATGCAATAGACACAAGTATTCTTTTCATTTTTCATAAAATTCACCCATCATACATCATGTATTAACATACAACTTATCATACACCGACACCTTTCACATAAAACGAGCATAGGAAGTTCTACTACTCCTATCATGCTCATCCTTATCTCATATGAAATACAAGAAGATTTTCTACAACTTTCATGAAGAACTTAGTTTCTAATTCCCTCATCTATCATGTAAAAAATTGTAAAAACTGCAATAGTTTTCTTAAATGCTGACAACTTGACCTTGCTCACTAAAAAGGTCACAACTAGAGTTTTAGACCTCCTTTTTAGGTGATTCCAATGCAACTAGAAACTAACATTCAAGGCTACAACTTTCATGAAAACCTCAAGACCAAATTCGGTTATCTACCCTCGACACTACAACTCTCACTTTAATGCTCCAACGTTGGATTTTTGCCAGCTTTGTTTCCTCCCAAGGCTATAGTGCTCAACTTAGTGCTACAGTGCTGGATCTCTACCATATCAGTTTTCTCCCATGGCTATAGTGCTCAACTCAGTTCTACAACGCTAGATTGCTGCCACCCCATTTTCTCTCACAGTTGTAGCGCTAAGTGTAGAATTTTCTACACTTTCATGGCTTTCCTCCTTCGTTCTTCACCTACATTTCACCAATTTTCTCCCTAAACATGATCTACAATCATAATCTTTACTAGATTTGTTCACGCAACCCAAAAACCACAAGAAAACACAGCATGCATGGATAAAAACTCAAATAAAATCATCAACATTTAACCTTTTCCATTAAGAAAACCAGAATCTCAGTTTCTTCAACACGCAATCCATAACACCCTATTTTTTTTATAATAATATTATTAATCTTATATTCTTTCTTATATTTTGGGGATAGAAATATTTAATTATTATTATTAAAGGAAAAATATTTTTTTGTATTATTATTTATATTTATTATGTTAAATTATTTTGAGAAAAAGGAGAAGCAGGTCGGGAAGGGTAATGAATTGGGTTGACCCGACTAAGGGAATGTAAAGAAGGGGTTAGCAGATTAACCCTCATTAGTCTTATTTGGTAATGAATTGGGTTGACCCGACTAAGGGAATGTAAAGAAGGGGTTAGCAGATTAACCCTCATTAGTCTTATTTGGCATTTTCTAAAGGAGTAAGAAAAAAAGAAAGGAAAACAAGAGCTTTGAGAAGGAGTGCCCAGGAAGAGATCAAGAACAACTTCCGCTACATCAAGAGTATTTTGATTAACGCAACCAGGTACGAGAGAAAAGAGGATTTTTATATGCAAAGTCATGAATGGGTAGAGGGAAAGTTCCCTAGGATTTTTGGTAATTTTATATTCGTTTCTGTTTGGATGCCTAATGATTCTGATAATTTCTATGTGGACTTGTGAGTGTATTTCTGGTATTAGATGTTAAAATCGATGTTCTAAGAGAGGGATTGGGTTGTTTGAAATGTGCCTGAGTTAGGGTTCATGAGGGATTGAAGTTTTGATAATTGGTAGGTTGTTTTGTAAAATTGTTTTGTAAAATTGATTATTCAATTGGGTTTCATATTGATTTATAAATGTGGTTGTGATATTATTTGGTAAAATTGATGATTTAGATGATGATTGGATTTAGTTATTTTATACTATCATTTAATTATAAATTATATATATATATATATATATATATATATATAATTGTTGCCCCATTTTCTCTCACAGTTGTAGCGCTAAGTGTAGAATTTTCTACACTTTCATGGCTTTCCTCCTTCGTTCTTCACCTACATTTCACCAATTTTCTCCCTAAACATGATCTACAATCATAATCTTTACTAGATTTGTTCACGCAACCCAAAAACCACAAGAAAACACAGCATGCATGGATAAAAACTCAAATAAAATCATCAACATTTAACCTTTTCCATTAAGAAAACCAGAATCTCAGTTTCTTCAACACGCAATCCATAACACCCTATTTTTTTTATAATAATATTATTAATCTTATATTCTTTCTTATATTTTGGGGATAGAAATATTTAATTATTATTATTAAAGGAAAAATATTTTTTTGTATTATTATTTATATTTATTATGTTAAATTATTTTGAGAAAAAGGAGAAGCAGGTCGGGAAGGGTAATGAATTGGGTTGACCCGACTAAGGGAATGTAAAGAAGGGGTTAGCAGATTAACCCTCATTAGTCTTATTTGGTAATGAATTGGGTTGACCCGACTAAGGGAATGTAAAGAAGGGGTTAGCAGATTAACCCTCATTAGTCTTATTTGGCATTTTCTAAAGGAGTAAGAAAAAAAGAAAGGAAAACAAGAGCTTTGAGAAGG